GCCCGTTAAGTAGCTCCTGAACACGGGTGCACAATTTGTAGTATGTACCATAAAATCAGAACAGATTTCCATACAATTAGATAATAAATTAGATAATAAATAAAGCCTTTTAATTTTAGTAAAAATTTTACGTACTTTGTTTTTTTACTTATCGGATGTTATGAGATTTTTTTTGTTAAATCGATTTTATGGAATATAATACAAATACAATTAGAGGATTAAACAAAATCAGAACAAATTTTCATACAATTAGATAATAAAAAAATTAGATAAGGAAAAGAAGGAATTAGATAAGAAAAAGAAGGAATTAGATGAGGAATTTTGAATTTGACTTTTTTTGGATAGATAGACTGTACGTACAAATTTTGACTTTACTGGTTTTATGAGATTTATTTTGACAAAATCAATGTTAATATGGAATAAGACAAATAAATAAAATCTTTTTATTTTAGTAAAGATTTTACGTCTTTTTTTTTTGACTTGTCAGATGTTATGAGATTTTTTTTTCTTAAACTGATTTTATGGGATATAAGAAAAATAAATAAAATAATTAAATAAAATTCTGGATAGAAATAGCAATGCATTAATTACGTTGACTTTTCAATCTACTAAATTTGGTAAATAGGATACCTTATATAATAAGTATAGATACAAATAAATAACATGCCAAAATTTTAAAGAATAATTAATGTATTTTAATTTATTATCTAGCCATCAGTTATATCATATAATGATGTGATCATTATCTCTTAAATGATAAATAAAAAATTAATTTAAAAAAAATATTTGTTTTTTATATACTCAAATAAAAAATACTATCGACAAATATGAATTATAATATATATCAGTAAAATCATTGCAGAAGTTAATAAAATTATTTAAGAAAAGAATCTTTTTGATCATATTTGAATAGAAAATGTATAAATGCAAGCAATTAATGCATATAGTAAAAAATTTCAAAACTAAAGTATGCATTAAATGTGAGTTGACTTTTCTTGCTACTATTTTTGGTAAATAATATGGCTTTTAATATAAGTATAGATGTTTGATTACATGAGTAATGCTCACCTACCCACGGTGGGCACATGTTAATATGCCCACCGTTTATGTGGCATGCAGACATTGGTGATGTATTTTTCTGAACATATTAACATCACC